TGAAGGATCCCTAGATAATACCTTCCAAAACCCATGGCTCCCATAACCTAGAAGGATGAGGGCAGCAGATACATGAGAAGAACACCCCTCCTAATCACATGCCATCCTGAGTAGCCATATCCTTATTGTCACTGAGTTAGTCCCTGCCTAAGATCTGTGGGTATATCTACACACACCTTCTTCCAACGAGAGTATAGTGGTTTAAGAAATCAGCTCACCACCACCACCTCGATAATTATTAGGGATTAACAATAATAGCTAGCCAGCAATGCCCACATCCAGTGAGAGTTACAAATTTCACCCTGTCCCTTTGTGTGTAGAATTGTTTCCTGATTTTAATTCAGAGAAGTTTGGCTATAAAGTTTAAACTTTCCCACTAGACTATACTGCCCAGTAAGTAGCAATAGTTTATTTCTACCTCCTCCCCTTGTTCTGCTGGTATGTTGGAGATGTTGCCAGATTGATTGATTCACATTGCATTATAAATAGAGTGAAGTACTGCAGAAATAAGCATGAATGAAGTTAGAGGTGACCCATAACTACTAGACTTTGGATTCATCATGTCTAACCCATGTGCAGCAGTCATTAATAAACCCAGTTGAAAGTGGAACTATACAGGCAAAACAATAGAACAATGATCAGAAATGGTTCTGATCAAATTATGTGGTTGTACCAGTGAAGAAACAAAGGGAATACTTGAGCTGGAAGTTGTATAGAGAGGAACCAGAAGGACAAACGTTGTAAGAATTGTTTGATGACTAACAAAACAAAACACTTGGATCGGCACAGGTTCAAGAAACTCAACAGCATTCAGGACAAAGCAACCTGCTTGACTGGCACCATGTCCATGGGAATGCAGCAGAGTTTGGCTGTACAAATTCCTTAATACATAGTTTGCTTCATCTTCAGCAAAAGGGGTCATGGAGATAGCCAATGCCCTGACCATTTGAAATCTACTTGTCTGGTCTGAGAATTAAGATTGACAGTTAACTGTTCTTGCTCTATTTCCATGCCAGTTATAGCCCATCCAATTAGCACCCCCTTCTTATTCTGTGTAAAATGGAGTTTGTTTCTTGCACCCGACTTCTAATTGAACGCAAGATGAAAAACTTCAACTTCTAGTTTCCTTCTATCAACAGTTGAGAAAATATTTTAAAAAATCAAGAGTAGTGTAAATTTAAGTTGTAAGGGTTGAAGGGGCCAGAGAAAGGTAAATTCAGGAAATGTTTTTCAACACCGTGAAATAGAATAGTATTTTGCAACAGATAAATAGGAAAATATCTTTTCATATTATGTATGATGAATAGAATCATGATCCAACCAACAATAAACACACATCGGTATATAATGAGTTTAAACAGTTCTTCAAATGGTACCCAGGATTTCACTTTTCATAGATGCTTAAAACTGAGGTTGGAGGTGCAATAAGATGTCAGATGTTCTTGCTAGTCACCCAATGAGGATTTGTGGCATACAAATACAGTAAAAGACAGAGGCGGTTCTTGGGCTTTTGGTACAATCCAGTCTTCTGCCATCTACAGAAATGTAAATGATCTTTAAGATTACATTCCCATGGAGAAACTGGTACTATTTCCCGTGTCTGTGCATTCAAATATTTTACTACTACAACACTTCTGTTTGTATGTTTACAATCAGTTGTCTTGGTCAGTGATCACTTGCTGCTGAAGATCTGTAAAATAAACAGCACTTGGGTTCATGCATATGTACTGTACAGCATGAGTAAACCAAAACGTGGAAGAGTATAGAGCTTGGAGGTCATAAGTCCTTTTTGTGATGACTTACTTATTTTAAAGGTGCCTCTTGTTTCGTTGATTTTAATGTGAACTAATTTACTTGAAAGCGTGGATCTGTTTGGCTGATCTTTAAATAAGTTGCTGATTCTGAGAAACCATGGTGATGGGTCATTATGAATGAGGAAACCAAAAGACTTGACACCATGCTAACAATTAGCACCACTTTTAAAAGAAATGAAACCCAAATCTTAAAATTGACAGTAAACTAAATAGACTAAATAAAACTATCCAATATTGACTGAAATCAAGCTTGAGGATGCAATTCAAGAGCAAAGTACTCGAGATGCTGAAACTCTTAAAATAAGCTTAGAAAATGCTGGAAATATTCAACAAATCTGGAAGTGTTTTTTTAAAAAAGCAACAGTGTCATTGGTAGGATTGTCAACTCTCCGGAACTGGTCTGGAGTCTGTAGGAATTGAAGATAAATTTCAAGGCAACTGCTGTGTGCAACTCTGGAGGGGAAAAAAATCATAAGGATCATAAAAAGCATAAGGGTGGCAGGTAGATCAGTAGTTAGTACTGCTGCCTCACAGCACTGGGGATGCGGGTTAGATTCCACCCTTGGGCGAGTGTGTGTGAAGTTTGCACATTTTCCCTGCGTCTGCGTGGATTTCCTCTGGACGCTTCAGTTTCCTCTCACAGTCCAAAGGTGTACAGGATAGGTGGATTGCCCATTGGTTAAATTTCTTGTAGTGTTCAGAAATGTGTAGGCTAAGTAGATTAGCCACGGTAAATACAAGCTTTCAGAGACAGGGTGGGAGCTGAGTGTGAGTGGGATGCTCTTTGGAGAGTCGGTGCAGACTTGATAGGCTGAATAGCTTCCTTCTGCGCTGCGTGGATTCTATGATTTTACATGAAAGAGGTATAAAAATATTGAAATGGGGTATAAAGACTGTTTGGCTGACAGTGAAGCATCATCTAATTGGATAATGAACCTTTTTGCTTTCCATTTGGCATAGGAAGGCAGCGTGTCACACAGCTGACTAATGGCTTGAGCATGGGGATATGGTGAAACCTCCAGGAACAAATTAAAGCACATTTGGTAACCCTAGTCAGTTGGCTCAGTTCCCCTTTGTCTTAAGAACTAAATTGAGGCCCCAAGCCCACACTTGGGGGCTCAATAAGAGGGCAGGTGTCTTTGAATTCTCAGTAGTCCCACTTGAGAGACCTGGTCATTCTAAATGCAGGCAAGAAAACCTGTCTTATTTACATTGTAGAACATATTTCATAGTTATATTAGTTTCTTTTTGTACGTGCATGGGATGTAGGTGTCACTGACTGGATGAGCATTTACTGTCCATTCCTAGTTGCCCTTGAGAAGGTAGTGGTGAGCTGCCACATTTGGTGTAGTAGACCCACAATGCTATTAGGGAGGGAATTTCCAGGATTGTGACCCAGCAAAACTGAAAGAGCGGCAATATAGTTCCAAGTCAGGATGGTGAGTGGATTGGAGGCGGGTATTGCAGATGGTTGTGTTTTTGTGTATCTTCTACTGTTTTTCTTCTAGACGGTAGTGGTTGATAAAAGTAATTCCAGCACTGTTGTTCCTGCTTTGTAGTCAAGAGTAGCTCATTAATTCTCCAGTGCAGCATTTTTGTAGAAGCTGTGTGCAGTGTCGTTTTGTATCTATTGATAGTTTTATACTGATGAATGCATTTTGATATGTTTTACTATGTATTGTATGAATTGCACAACCTGTGCAGTCTTGTCTTTAAAATTGAATGGATGCATACTTTTTTAAGAAGTGTGTGAACCCTAGTAGAACTAATTTAGGATCCAGCCTCCCATGCGAAAGGCCTCGGGTATAAATGAAGATATAATTGTAATTTTAAAAATCTATTTTAAATTGTGCATAATTAAGTTTTTGTCAACTTGCAATCTCTGAAACACAACTATAGACTTCTTGAACACATGATTGGCCGATTATTTTGTGGTGACCAAACTGATCTGATATCCAGCTCTAAATTTTTAATAATTTTCAGATCAATAATGGGACTGATTCTGATACTGTTGAAATGATAAAATGATCATGGTAGCTTTTCAAGCAATTCAGCCTGACTTGCCTCTAATTTCACCCCATGTCGGCCATTACTTGGTTGTTAACAAAGTTTTCTCTGAATCAAGAGGTCCCACTCTTGGACTTGAATGCAAAGATCAAAGCTAACGCTCCAGTGGAATATTGAGGAAGTTCACATTGTCAGAGGTGTTGCCTTTTTGAAAGAGATTCTAAACCAAAGCACCACCTGTTGCTTGAGTAAATGTAAAATATTTCATGGTACTATTCTGAAGCCTCCCTGTGGTGTCCTGGACAATGTTTACCCATCAATCAACTTCACTAAAAGTAGATTATCTTAACATTATCGAATTGCTGTTTGTGGGGTCTCGCTGAGTGCAAATTAGCTGTCAACTTTCTTGCATTACATCTCTGAGCAAACGGGTCTGTATTACAGCCTGCTAGTTCAGATGCTGATTCAATACAGTTCTTTTTCTAGACCCACGAAGTGCTCTGATGGGTTTTTTGATGAGCATTGAACTGGGCAGTCGTTGGGACTATGCACTGAAACACGTTCAATTGTGATTAAAACAGACTTTATCGATGGAAAATAACGAAAAACTTTTGTGCAACTTTGCACATCTATGGGATCATCCTACATTGACAGTGGCTGCACTGCAAAGGTGCTTTGGGATGTTGCCCAAGGGTTATGGGAAAAAAGGCAGGAAAGAAGAGTTGAAAATGATCAAATCAGCCACAATCTCGTTAAATCGCAGAACTGACCCAATGGGTTGAATGGCTCATATATAATGGTCTTTATGTCTAGTTGTGAAAAGCAGTACGTAATTGCAAGTCTTTTTCAAGTGTTTTGCTGAATTCAGACTCAGAACAGATTTGCAAATTAAGTGATTAAAACTAGAAAATTATGTGAATCCCCCACAAGTCAGTTAGTTTCTTAAAGATAAAGCAAAGGTGCTCACAGGAATTGTTAGAACCCATCTCTTCTTTTTTTATATAATTTTGAACTACTGTGTATTTCTAACGTTTATTATTTGCTTTTACTAAGAGCTCCAGTATTTGTAGTTTTTCATATGTTACCGAATCAGTGAAACTCCAGTGTGGTCGAGCAGTGATTCTGAAGTGCACCTATCTGTCTTGTGTTTTAAATGTATCTCTTTTTTTCTCTCCTTAGCTCCCTTGCTTAAACTCATACGATAGCTACTGCAGCAACCAAGTGGCAGCTAAGGCCCTTCTAGATCACAAGAAACAAGATCATCGAGTCCATGACTTTCTACAACGCTGTTTAGAATCACCTTTTAGTCGCAAGCTGGACCTCTGGAATTTTCTGGATATTCCACGTAGCCGACTGGTGAAGTACCCTCTACTCTTAAAAGAAATTCTCAGGCATACTCCGAATGACCACCCAGATAAGCAGCACTTGGAAGAAGCAGTAAGTAGCAATAGACAATAAATATTACCATTGTGCTGTCCTTTTGCATGGTTCAGCTATAAATAAACGTTTTACTCTACAAGGTTCCTTGCAGCTGAATCGGTTACACTCAGGTTTTAAAAATTATGAGCATTAATCTTACTTGTACTCCCTTATCAGGTTTTCAGTGGGATTCTGTGCCGAACACAAAACCTGATAGTGGATGGTATCTCCAGATGCATGTGGAGGTGGAGCATTTATTCTCATGTTCTGATAATTACCGTGGAAATTGCAGAAGTAACCTTGCTGTAGGCATTGATTTTTCCATCTGCAACTAGGTTTTTTTGGGTCATTAACATTGCTGGGGATGTTGAATCTGAGTTATCAAATAGAAAATATTTGCAAATCTCCCACCCCCCAGCAGTAGACCCTTTGGGTTTTACATTTGACATCATGGCCTAGAATTCCTTTGCTGCATCATAGATTAGATGCCTCCATCTCTTATGCTAAATTGATTCTTCCTTGTGGTGGAGAACTGGTGGGCAAGCAAACATATAAAAATAAATAAATGAATTGCCTTTGTTTCCTAATGTAGATATTAGGTGAAAAATGATGTGTAAATAATGATTTGTCCCCTTGCTTTTCGCCCTTTCCATTGCTATTTGATTAAAGCCAGGGAACTATAGGCCGGTGAGATTGACATCGTAGTTGGGCAAGTTGTTGGAGGGAATCCTGAGGGACAGGATTTACATGTATGTGGAAAGGCAAGGACTGATCAGGGATAGTCAACATACTTTTGTGCGTGGGAAATCATGTCGCAGGAACTTGATTCAGTTTATTGAAGAAGAAAGAGGATAGGTGAGGGCAGAGAAGTGGACATGATCTATATGGACTTCAGTAAGGTGTTCAGCAAAGTTCTTCGTAGACTGGTTAGCAAAGTTAGATCACACGGAATAGAGGGAGAGCTATTTGCATACAGAACTGTCTCAAAGGTAGAAGACAGAGGGTGGTGGTGGAGGATTGTTTTTCAGACCGGAGGCCTCTGACCAACAGTGCACCACAAGGATCGGTGTTGGGTCCACTGCTTTTCTTCACTTATATAAATGATTTGGATGTGAACATCGGAGGTATGGTTGGTAAGTTTGCAGATGATACCAAAATTGGAGGTGTAGTGTACAGTGAAGAAGGTTACCTTGGGAGCTTGATCAGATGGGCTAATGGGCTGAGGAATGACAGATGGAGTTTAGTTTATTTAAATGTGAGGTGCTGCATTTTGGAAAGGCGGATCAGGACAGGACTTACACACTTCATGGAAAGGTCCTGGGAAGTGTTGCTGAACAAAGAGACCTTGGAGTGCAGGTTCATAGCTCCTTGAAAGTGGAGTTGCCGGAAGACAGGATAGTGAAGAAGGCATTTGATATGCTTGCCTTTATTGGTCAGTGCATTGAGTATAGGAATTGGGAGGTCATGTTGTGGCTGTACAGGACATTGGTTAGGCCATTTTTGGAATACTGTGTGCAATTCTGGTCTCCCTGCTATAGGAAGGATGTTGTGAAACTTGAAAGGGTTTAGAAAAGATTTACAAGGATGTTGCCAGGGTTGGAGGGTTTGAGCTTTAGGGAGAGGCTGACTAGGCTGGAGCTGTTTTCCCTGGAGCGTCGGAGGCTGAGGGATGACCTTGTAGAAGTTTATAAAATCATGAGGGGCATGGATAGGGTAAATGGGCAAGGTCTTTTCCCTGGGGTAAGGGAGCCCAAAACTAGAGAGCATAGGTTTAAGGCAAGGGGGGAAAGATTTAAAAGGGACCTAAGGGGCAACTTCTTCACACAGAGAGTGGTACGTATATTGAATGATCTGCCAGAGGAAGTGGAGGAGGCTGGTACAATTACAACATTTAAAAGGCATCTGGATGAGTATATGAATAGGAAGGGTTTCGAGGGATATGGGCCAAATGCTGGCAAATAAGACTAGATTTATTTAGGATATCTGGTCGGCATGGACGAGTTGGATCAAAGAATCTGTTTCTGTGCTGTGTATCTCTATGGCTCTAAATCTAAATTGAATTACAGATTATGGTGTTACTACCTTTTAACACCTATTATGACATTTTTAGTGTTCATTCATGCCAAAGTGATGCTTGACTTTAAGCTTTGCAAGTAGTTTTAATGATTTTTCAAAACGGAAATGCGAAACACCTTTATCTTTAATTAAACTTTGAAAGAAATATTATTTCCAACAGCTTCACTTTTTGTTGTTTTTCAGCATGTCTGTGATTCAAACATTTGTATATACAAAACTGCATTTACTCTCAAATTTGAATAGTAATGCCACTCTTAGTATAAGGCTAAGGACCCTAATGCCTAGATTCAAGGGGGAAGTGTGGAGTAGCAGAAATGTACAGCAAAGCTTTAGGCATGTCTTTCATTGAGGTGCAAGTTGAACAAGTGCAGTGATTGGTCTACTGCAGCTGTTGTCTCTGTGTGGTAATCTGACCTTCAGGAAAATCAAATTACAGCGTTAAGATTTACAGACATGGTGACACATGCAACCATTCCCATAATACAGAAAGCTTAAAACATGTGTGTTTACTGTCTGCTTATTCACTCCATATACTTGTACTCATTTAAACTTTTTATATGCAGTTTTTCTATTTCATGGAGAAGAAAATTTGCAGCTGAATGTTGGGGAGGCAGAAGGAAAAATGTAGAGCTTTTGGTAGTTTTTAACTTATCATCACACATGAAGTTAAGCCCAGATAAATGTAAAAATTCATGCAACATCTTTGAGGAAAGGAGACCAATATTAACGTGATGGGATTACTGGAATTCCCAGTCCATAACATGTCAAGATTCAGATTTCAACTTCAACTGGCATTACATTTATTCATCAACTCTTTTGACTTACTAGAACTTTCTCTTGTGCTGCAGTGGAATATTACTGCTTCCTTAATTTCTTCATTCATTTAGTGATGAAATCTGTAGAGATGAGTTTGTGAGAGCCATTTCCCATTTTTACTTTTCTTTTAAACTCCAGATTAACATTGTTCAAGGGATTGTAGCTGAAATCAACAAGAAGACGGGGGAATCAGAATGTCAGTATTATAAGGAAAGACTAGTCTTTCTTGAGGAGAGTCAAAAGGACCCTCTGATCGAAAATTCTAAAGTGCTCTGCTGTCATGGAGACTTGAAGAACAACAGAGGAGCAGTAAGTGATCTATGATTTCTTATTACAATAATTCCTATTCTGTGCTCTCCTTGAAATAGTCCTCTGATTGCTAGTTAACTTAAAATCTTAATATTCATTAGTGATCTTAATCGCTGATGAACAAAACTATCATGCAAAAAAGTTGCAACAAGAGGAATTAGTTTTGATAGAAAATAAAATGTTCTGAAGAGGAAAGCAAATGGTTTCACTACTTAGAATTTAGGCAACATTATCAATGTAGAATTGGATTAACAATGTTGTATAACAATAGAGAATCAAAAGTTTTACATTCATTTCTTTCACTTACTGTTTTCAATAAAATATATAATAATGTAAAAGAAAAACTGAAGAAATATGTGAAAAACTTTAGTTCCGGAACAGATGTAGTTAGGGCTTTGAAGGTAATGTTGTATGGGGAAGGTGGCTTCAGTGACATAGATTGATGATCTGATCTGTTGTGTCAGTTAAGGAAGAGATGAAAGGTTCAGAGTCCGTCTGTCCTTTCAAGCTGTCTCCCTTTAATGTTCTAGCTTTAGACCAGACCACACTGTTTGATGCTTCTTCCTTCCTCACATCACACAAATCAGTCCTCTCTAGTCTGACCTTTAGGGATTGAGGTTAATGTGAAATTTAACAGGACAATTGCTCTTTGAATTTTTTTTTCCAGAGATTGTCAGAACTCTGATTTTTGATGAAGTGTCAATAAAAGTATTGATATTTAGTAGTGCAAAATGTACATCTCATATTAAGATAAATAAAAATTTAGTATTGGACTGTTTCCTGTTGCACAAATTGCAGAGCATGATTTCCATTCAATATATCCCAAAGAGAGGACCTTATGGAGATTTTAGCAAGGTCTGTTTCCCCACTGGCAAAATTAATTCCATTTATTATCTGTGCACAGTATTATGATTTATTATATTAAATTTATGTATTTAAGCTTGTGCACCACACACAAATGGGCTGTTCATAGCAGATAAATAATATTGAAGCAGCTATAATAGTTACTTGTTATCAGAACCTTGAATAAGGGAGCAGGTTGAAGTGATGACAAAATCATTTAATTCATGTATTTGTAAATGATTCTTGGTCATTTTTAATTTGTTTATTTCTAAATATATTAACACTATTATATTTTAGCATCCTGGTTTTGAGATAAGTACCAATTGGAGCTTTAAAAGCAGATTCAGGATGGATTTCACTTCATTTTGCAGAAGCTCCATGTTTTCCTGTTTCAAGAGGTGCTTGTAATTACCAGAGCGGTGACATGCAGTGAGCAGCTGTGCTACCAGCTGTATAGGCAGCCCATCCCTGTCGGGGATCTGGTGTTGGATGACCTGCAGGATGGGGAGGTTCGGTTAGGGGGATCTATTAGAGGCGCCTTCAGTAATAACGAGAGAAGTAAGTACAAAGCTTTAATTACCTTTTGCTGCCCCTGTGTACTTATTTATGCGTTTCTATGAGTAATTTATATATCAAACAGACATTGCAGTCTTTCACAATTAACACTTCCACTAAACAGTGCTAGTTAAACTAAGAAACATGGGATTGCATTTTGCAAGTAGGATTGAAGTCGGTGGCTCACTGCAGACCTCGAAGACAGCTGCTATGGAAGATCTAGCGACTACCTATGGCGTGCATATTGTCTTTGCCAGCATCAGTTTGTTTCTGGCACAAAGTTGAGGTTAGCTAAAGGCATTCAGCAAGAATGATGTCAGGAAGCAGGATAAGCAGCCAATCGCAACAAAGTATTCTCCAAGATAAGAAACCAGCAAGTTTAAAAAGTAGTCAATCCCTTAGCTTTTAGTTTTAAATTTAATAGAGAGGTGATATAAGTGACTGGGACATGCATCTAGAATTAGGTAGAAAGACAGGCTATAAAAAGCAAACTTTAAAAAATAATATGGACATTGTATAACTATAAAATTATTATTTATAGGCCAAAGAAACTACTTAGCACTAATTATGAAGTTAATGCACCATTTAAACCCCAGTTACACTTCATTCAGCAAAGCACAACTTTTGGCTTTGACAGCAAGACTATAAGCATAAGTTCTCAGCAATTCATGGATTTCCAGTTGATTTGTATTCTGTGGGGTTCTAAGCTGGAGCAGAGTAGAACTGCCTAATAGGAAATTTTGTATTTTCACATTTATTTACACGTGTAGATTCCAGAGGTAGCTGTCAATTTCAGAGGAACAATGATTACTATGATGTTCTGATTCCAGGCGAGACTGCCAAACTTATGTTACGATCTGGTTAGGGATCAGTAATTATTTGTTTAACAATAAGCAAAACTTGTAATCCTCGGTACTTAGAGAATAAAGACAAAAGATTTTGCATTTTTAAGTAAACAAAATAAACTTTACTATACAAGATTAGAAAAGTAAAACAGTCTACAGTATGTTCAAGGATTAACATGAAGTAAACATGATTTAACAGATTGTGGTCAAATACACCGCAGAGCATATCAAATAGCAGGTAGGTCAAGACAGATTCCACACATTTTGCAGCATTCCATGAGACATGGGTCATAAAATCCCGTTAAATTTTGCTTCCTTCATAAAGGATGTCACATCTTCACTTTTAATGACCAAGCTTCCTCAGAAGTACTTCCACGTTAGATTACCTCAAAGACCTGCACTGCACGAATGGTTCAAACTCCCTTCCTGGGATAGCAGTTCCCCTGGATTTTCATACACTCTAGCACCACTTATGGTATGTTCCAACTCTTTCATAGACAACTAACTTCACTAAGCTGGCACTTCCCCTAGATTTATCTTAACTCTAGTCTCCCATTACACCTGAGGTATTAACGTTGCTTGTAGGCTTCCTTGAGCCAAACTCTCATCTGAACCAAATGTTTCCTGGGATTTCAATGAGCCTCCAGCTCTTCAGGACTTACAGCAGCATTTTAACTACCTGCAGCTACCTTCTGTAACTGATCCCAACTCATCCTTGAAGCGCTGATCACGGATCCTTGAACTGTCCTAGTTAACCAGTAAAACTCATCAAGAGAGCCCCATCCTTGCTACTGATGTGATCAAATGTGGCAAATCTTGAAACATCCCAATCCCTGAATGTTAAAATCTCAACAGGTTGCTAGTTTCCATAGCATATATCGAGTGAGGAAAATAAATTGATTTTATCACATTGACAAAACATAGGCCGTAATTTAGAAACAACTTACGTTTGGAAATTTTATTTGTGGTCAAAACTGGTGTAAGAAAGTGGCCATTTAGATAAGGAGGGTGACTATATTGTAAAATTTGACTTTAGTAGTGAGTCAGCTCATCAGGAGAGGAAAAAGAATTGTTTATGAAGAAATAGAATGAGGTCTGAATGTATTTGACCAAAAAACAGTACAAAATATATATCATATATTAGTTTATCAGAAAATGATACTGTAATGTTACTTATTCAACAGTGAAGGTTAAGTACAAAACCATTTAGTTAATTAGAGTTTTAATAAATTGTAAGTGGCAAAGGTTAACATAGGGCTGGGGTTTCTTGCTCATGTACAACCCTTACGTTAGACCCGAAAAATATGCTCATTGTTTACATGCATTTTGACAATGTCAATTAATACTCATGTCAAACTTGTTTATATGCCATAAAAATTCATTTAAAAAATACAAAGCACATCCCCAGTGCGAATAACATTTTTAAAATAAACCTTTAAAAATTAGAGCCAAACATCAGGAGAATGGCTTTCCTTCCTTCTGGACCTGAAAATCTGATGATAATCACCAGGAGACCTCCACTCCCCACCCCATTAAAACTGGTTCTGTCCTCAGATTACACTTGTCTGAATGCAAAAGCAATGATAACTGTAAGAAGGTAGACTTTTGCTTTTACTGAATATTTTGTTTTCTAAAACATCATTTTTGTTTCTTTCTTAGCAAAAAATTTCTTCAGAGTCAGCTTTGTAGATCCTTCTGAAGGGCAGTCCCACTCACTCCAGGCAAATGATGCCTTCAATAAACAGCAGTGGTTGAACTGCATCAGACAGGCCAAAGAAGTTGTGCAGCATTCTTTAGGTGAAAAAGGAATGCTAGGCTGTGGAAGGCACATGCATCTGACTCCAAATGGGATCAGGATGTCCCATGAAGAACCAAAGCTTGAAAGAATGGACCAATCAGACAATGAATCTGACTGTAGTATGGATACCAGCGAGATTAGTGGTGACTATGAACAGATGGAAGAAACAGACTGTTGTGTAAATCAAAAAAGAATAGAGACCGATGTTTGATATCATCAATACATTGCGTAGAAGTCCACGGCATTTTACCTGTACAGTATTTGCATTCCATAAGGAGCATTTTGGAAAAGCACTTTTATTCCATGCAATGGTGTCCTTGGTCCCTTCATGTATACTTGACAAATACTGCCAAACATGTCTGTAAGCTGGAATTTGTCGTCTTTGCTGTTTCTGGTTTAATGTGTTCTCTCTGACATCATATTCATGGATGAAATATTTGATTAACATCTGCATAGTCTTGCTGGACCTACTCAACTGCTGTTAGCGTTTGGGCCAATTCCATATGGATTGATGTACATGGAACCAGCAAGTTAGCAGTTCAGGTGATTATACAGAACATTAGGCAACAATTTACAGGATTGGAGCAAAACTGAACAAAGTACTCAAAACATTTATAGAAATTAAGTAAAAACATCACATTTTTCGCTCTATGGACTCAAGATCAATGGTTATTATAATTTAATGGAATTTGGTTAGGGTAATTTCTTCAGGAGGAAGCTGCCTAGTAATCACTCTACACTGACTGGATAGTTTCCATCACTTTCAATAACACAGATGTACTTGTACATTTGCCAAATCATGGATATGTTGCCTAATTTGTTTGTAATTCTATTGGATGGGTTTAAGGCAGATTATTTGTCTCATTTTCTTTTGTACATAGTGTGTGATACATCTGTACAGTGTATGAGGAATCAGAATGACAAGCTTAAGCAGTAAGAAAAAATGGTCAAACCAAAGCATATACCTTTATTATTTTGAAAAAAGTAACATGTTTAATTTTATCTAGTTGAATTTTTTCTGTATTTATAGTTTTTACAAAAGTTGCAAAACTTCTATTTGCCCACTTGTGATTTATTTTAAATGCTTCATTTCAAAGAAAATGAATTCTGCAGGTATCTGTCCATTGGCGAGAGAAATAGATGAAAAACAGTTCTTAAAACAAAAATGATTATTGCAATGTTTAAGTCTATGTAATGTAATTACATATATAACCAACAGGAGGAACTTAATTCTGGAAGTAATACTATTCATTTGAAAAGCTCCTATCTCAGAAATAGCAGGAAGTTAGAAAATGGCAGTTGAAGGAATAAAATCAGACACAGAAATTTTGCAAAAGGAGTGGTTTCTCAGTTTTATTCTAATCCAGTTCTATACACGCACAAATGTTAATAAAAAAAATCCAAATTTATTGTGCATTGAAGGAAAATTAAACCCTAATGACAATTTGAATATGAACATTGTGATGAGACATTGAAGAATGTTACTGGTATGCAGCAGATAGAGTTGCAATCAAACAAATGTAGATTTTCATAATGTGGGAGGCTTTAAGTTTTCATGAAGAATTCACAAATAAATTATGCAATAAACAAGATCAGTTTTTTTTTGCAATTCATTTTAAATTGGACCGTCAAAAGATGGATTCTATTTAAGGATGATAAGAAAAGTCACTCAAGGTCAAATGTTATTCAATATGAAGAAATTATCTTAATGATGCTTTAAGCACAGCATAAATAATAATAATGTGCCTCTTGTGTTTTATGTTACATTAGTCCAGCTAAGGAATGGATGATGCCAATTCATTTTTCATCTTGCTCCAAGTGAATAGTCTTGGGTGCCTGCAGACTGGAGAACATCATTGGTAACATTCATGGAGATGTGTAAACTTGGACTCATTTGACTGCTGGCAGGGTTCAGCTTGTTAATATGACCAAGTACATATGAACATGCGTACATATAGGTACTCAAATTATGAGCAACAGTTAGCCGCTCAGTCCTCAAGACTGCTCCAGCATTCAATAATGTCATGGCTGATCTGATTATTCCACATTCCCGGCTCCCCTCTTGATAAATTCTTTCCTCCTTTGCTTATCAACAGCTCACTATAAGAAGAAGAAATTTATAGAGTCATACATTCATACAGCACTGAAACAGACACTGCAGTCCAACTCGTCCATACAGATCAAGTTTCCCAAACTAAACCGGTCCCACTTGCCTGTGTTTGGCCAATATCCCTCTAAATCTTTCCCATTCATGTACCTGTCCAAACATCTTTTAAATGTTATAACTGTACCTGCATCTACAACTTCCCGTGGCAGTTCATTCCATATATGTATAAAAATGTTTCCCCTCGGGTCCATTTTAAATCATTCTCTTCTCACCTTAAAAATATGTCCCCTAATTTTGAATTCCCCCACCCTAAGAAAAAGACCTTCTACTATTCACCTTACCTATACCCCTCATGACCTTATAAACCACTATAAGGTCATCCCTCAACATCCTATGTTCCAGGGAAAGAAGTCCCAGCTTTACAATTCAAACTCTCCAGTCCCTGCAACACCGTGCTAAATCTTTTCTGACCTCTCCAATTTTAATAATATCCTTCCTACAGCAGGGTGACCAGAACTGTACACAGTACTCCAAATGTGGCCTCACCAACATCCTTCTACAACCTCAACATTACATCCCAACTCCTTTACTCAATGGTCTGAGTAATGAAAGCAAGTGTGCTAAATGCCTTCTTAACTGTCTACCTGTGATGCAACTTTGAAAGAACAGTGAACCTAAACCCCAAGGTCTCTGTTTGAGAACACGGCCCAAGGCCCTACCATTAATTGTATAAGTCCTGCCCTTGTTTGTTTTACCAAAATGCAATACCTTGCATTTATCCAAATTAAACTTTATCTGCCACTCCTCAGCCCATTGGCTCTATTGTTCAAGATTGCTTTGTAATCTTAGGTAACCTTCTTCACTATTGACTGTACCACCAGTTTTGGTGTTATCTGCAAATTTACCAATCATACTTCTAAATTCTCATCCAAACCATTCTTATTAATGACAAACAACAGTGGACCTAGCACTGATCCCTGCGAAACACCACTGGTCACAGGCCTCTAGTCTGAAAAACAACCCTCTGTCTCATACCATCAAGCCAATTTTAAACCCAATTGGCAAGCTCTCCCTGAATCTCTTGGATGCTCAATGTCTTTGGAACTCCTCCTCAACAGAGAGTGGAAGACAGTCTTTGAATACTTTTAAGAGGTAGACATTCTTACTTTCCACAATACCCTCTGATGTGATACCTTATCAAGTGCCTTCTGGACATCTAAGTGCAATACATCCATTGGACTTGCATTTATCACAGCACATTACTTCCTCGAAAAACTGAAACAATTGGTTAAACATTAATTTCCTTTCACAAAATTATGTTGACCCCAGGTTGCGAACAAGTTCCATTCTAGGGTCTGTTCACAAGACAATTTGTACACAAGTTGGGACAATATAAGGGAGCCATACCAAGGTCAGGAAATGTTCACATGTTTGATTTTTGAAATTACACCCTTGTATGAGATTGTGTTCATGAGTATGAACATTCATAAGTTGGGTGTTCGTAAATCGGGGAACACCTGTGCTTTGAAATTTTCCAAGTGGTCTGCTAGAGCATCATTACTAATAACTTCTTATAATCTGCAGCTTCCCGCCTTCTGTCTCTTTCCCTCTTAGAATATATGAAAATGGGGAATAAAAATGATGAAACAGCTTTTTGTTGCCTGGAGTGTGGTATTGAATGGAGTGCCCTGAAAGAAGCGAAACTCTCCATTCAGTTAATTGCGGTGAAGATGTCCAACTATTCACTGTCCTCAGCACATTCTCACTTCAGGTTTCAGGTCAAGGTAATTGATAACAAAGCCTTCCAATATTCTTTTTACAAAGAAGAACACTATAGTTGAAGTGAGGGCTGGATAGTTATTTTATGCACAGTAATGCCTGACAAGGAATGTATGGTCAAGCTCCATATCATGATTTGAATAATTTCTCCCAGTAGTTGAGTTAAAATCCAGAAGCGAGCTGAAAAATGTGATTCTATCCAGGAATTAAACAGCAGTGGAAGAGAAATTTATAGAGCCATATAGCATTGAAACAGTTCACCCAGAGAGTAACCTGGAAGTTCAGTAATGTTACTACAGCAAACAGGTGATGAGTACTGTAAGGTTGAGTAGGTTTGATCTGCATTTGAGGTGGTAGTGTATTCACAACAACTGAGGCTCAATGTGAGTCAAACCTTACCATTCACAACAGCCTATATAAAAGCACACAACAAACCATTTAGGTGTGGGATATGTGCTCTGTATAGGTAACTTGAACTACAGGTTAAAATATGCCTATTTTTGGATAGGGAAGTTGAGAATGATGCAATGGAGAGGAACTCAGCAATTAGGAGCCAACCTGGTGCCATCTCATCCTGATTACTATTTTAATATAGGTATTAGTCTGTTTAATGGGTAATATCCTTGTTAAAATAGCAAAGAAAGTATAAACTGATGCATTAAAATTAAATTAATATTTGCAAGCCAATCTTAAACTTCAATCTCAAAATTAACAAGTAATAATTAGGACTTTTTTGCACACATTCCACCATGATAACTATTAAAATCTTACAATTATGATTAGAGGATGGTTCGCAATATTGTTTGAATTGTTTTTCATTTTATGCTTTTTGAGCCCTAAAATTTCATTTTAAAAATGTAATTGTTTATGCTTAGCACACCTCACATTTATAAAAACTTCCATTGAGACGTAGGTGTGACTTCCAGCTATGGTTTAGTTTCTTGCAATTATTTAATGGAATTGAAAGTGTATCCAATGAACCAATTGCAGGAGATCATTGAGACTATCGTTTCCATGTTGGTTGCACGGAAGATCTGAATGCACAAATCCCAATTTCCAGTTCTTGGCCCACAACCCTGGAGGCTATGGCAATGTAAGTAAAAATTTAAATACTGCTAAATGTTATAAGAGTTTCTGACTCAACCATTCTTTCAGGAACTGAATTCCAGACTCCCAACAGCTGGGTAAAAAAACTTTCTCCTCAACTCTACTGTACTTAGCCTTTTAACTCCTATCTTAATTCTATGCCCTCTTGTTGTTGACCCCTTTACTAATGAAAAAGTGCAGTGCCATCTGTACTCCTCGTAACATTATACACCTCTATCAGCTGCCCAAGGAATACAACCTCAGCCTATCCAAACCCTTCACAGGCCAGACCCTCCAGCCTAGGCAGCATCCTGGTAAATCTTATCTGCACCCCTCTAGTGTAATTACATCCTTCCTATAATGTGACCAGAACTGCATGCAGAGTTCAGTTATGGTTAACCAGCATTTTGAACAGTTCCTGCATGATGACCTAATGCTCTTTTGTTCTATTCCTCAGCTAATAAAGGCAAGTATCCCATATGCCTTCTTAATCACCTTATTTACCTGCCTTGCTAACCTCAGTAATCTGTGGATTTATACACCAAAGTCCCTCTGAAATTCAGTATTTTCCAGGTTCCTACTGTTCATTATGTAACCCCTTGCCTTGTTAGCCTTTGCTTAGTGCATTATCTCTCACTTTTCCTCGTGATTTCCATTTGCAGTAAGGTAGCTCAGCGGTTAGCACTGCTGCCTCATAGTGCCAGGGACCTGGGTTCAATTCCACCCTCAGGTGACTGTGTGGAGTTTGCACATTCTACCCCTGTCTGCGTGAGTTTCATCCCACAGTCCAAAGATGTATCGGTTAGGTGGATTGGCCATGCTAAATGGTTCACAGTGCCTTGGGATAAGCAGGCTAGGTGGATTAGTCATGGGAAATACAGGGTGATGGGGATGGGGATGGGGATGGGGATGGGTCTGGGTCTGGGTGGGATGCTCTTCGGAAGGTCAGTGTGGACTCAATGGGCCGAATGGCCTGCTCCTATACTGTAGGGATTCTATGATCTGGCACTGATCTATCCAGTGACATTCGTTGACATCCCCCTGTAGTTTACAGTTACCCTCCTCACTAATCACCGTCCTAACAATTTTTGTGTCATCCCTGAACTTCTTGATTATATCCCCTGCATTTAAGTCCAAATCATTGTTGATTCCTAAAAACAACAAGGACTCTGCTCCAAGCCCCAAAAATCCCAGCTGGAAACAGACTTTCAGTCAAAGAAACATCCATCACCCTCTGCCTCCAGCCTGCATGCACTTTGCCTAATACCTGTGGTCTCTATTTTACTGACCAGTCTGCTGTGAGGGACCTTATCAAAAGCTTCACTAAAGTCCATGTAAACAATATCAAATTCATTATGGTCAACAACACCTTGGTTACCTCTTCAAAAAATTCAAACAAATTTCTAAATACAACCTTCCCTGAACAAATTCATGCTGACTGTCACAGATTATTCCTTATCTCTCCAATTGCAGAAATATTCCATCCCTCAGAATTCTTTTTAATAACCTCCCACTTTTGAGGTTAGACTGGCTGGCCTGAATTTCCTAGCCTTTCTTCCTTTAAATAATGCAACTGGCATGAGCATCTAGGATTTCCTAAATGTAAATGTGTAAATTCAC